GTGACTTTATGATGAAGTGCTGGGGAAAAAAAAAGGCAGGAAAAACACATAATTAATGAGGAGGAACTATTTTTACAAGCTTGAGATATTTGATTGAAGTTTTGTATAAAGTTGTTTAACCTCAGAGCTGTTTGTGGAATGTGTGGCGGTGCTTAAGCCTTTGTTACATTTGGGAGCATCAAATAATTTGTAGTTATGTTAACCACAATGCTGCACCCTGTGTGTCCTTTTGTGTATTTGCCAAATGCAACTTTTTTTTTTTAAAAGAATGTTTAAGTTAAGGTGGGGTTGTGAGTGGCAGAGTGCCTTGAAATTTTTGCATGTCTGTGAATGTCCTTGAATGCTTGCCAGCTGGTCTGAGACCAATCGCTGAGTGTAGCCTACATTGCAGAGTTGTTGTGACAATAACTTGGACAGAATATGCTGGTTCAAGCTTTATGGAGGAAATAGGATAATAAATTCTTCATCTTCTTCCTAAAGGCCTTGGAAGATGATGAGGATGATGGTGATGATTGATGGGAAGCTGTCACCAGCGTAAAGTGTAATACAAAATCCAGTAATTTTGTATCTATTAATGCTAGCTGTTTAATTGTCTTCAGTATGTTTACAGTAAAATACTTCTAAACTTAATCTACAACTAAGTCTGTGAATTAACACTAAAACAAGTCTAAATTATGCATGTTGTTATATGTTTTATGCTATAAAATAACAATACATTTAACATTGAAAACATTAAGAGTTATAAATGAACTAAGTTCTATTAGTTGTTTTTAAATGCATGGAACTAACTTAAGTAACTTAAACTAACCTGGCCCTATCAATAACCCTAACCCTGAAATAGTATCTATTCAAGTTAAAATAATAGCTGTTGCTTTGCAATGTCTACAGTAACAAGATCAAAATATAAATATGGCATCTTTCTAGCCCAGTTAACACATACTGCATATCAATTCCTGTTTGATTTCAGATGTTGACCCAGAGGATTTGGCTACATTATAAATAATGGAAAAGTCATTGTCCAAAAGTAATACATGGGGTTAAAACTGGTGGTATCCTTATGAGTAACGGATGAATGGGTGAGCTGCATATATCACAGTGCTACATACAGTGAAGAACACGTTCACCATTTCTGTCTGACCATCACAGCACAGACATAAATGGTGGATCAAAAGGGTCCTCCTACATTTTCCTTCCAACACACCAAGGGGAGGGCAATGAGGAGGGCCAAAGTATAAGCCTTTCTATATTTCGGAACCGTTAACTGTGTTAGAAAGGAAACAGGTTCTACTCTACATTTGAAACTTTTTCTAATAGGAAGATTTGGGGTTCTAGCCAGATCAGATTGACAGAGTGTATCTACCATAAGCTGCCTTATGGGAGTTCTCACCTGGTCAGTAAGACATGCTTCCCAATCTACAAAGCTGAAATGTTAGAACTTAGTCTATGTCTCCAGGGTCCAATACAATTACTTGTCTACTGGTTAGCTACTAGTTAGCTACTGGCTATCAACTTTGTTCCTCCAGAGAATTATAATGCTCTGAGAAGCTCCATGTCAGTCACAAGTTATAAAAGAAGTTGCAAACTGCCCTGAATGGCCTCAGAAGACCTCTTCAATTAAGCATGTACATTGCTGCACAACTTTGAGGAAATCATAGACTTTGTTTCCACAACCCTCTTGACTAAAATGTGATCAGCTAATTGGTGGAGTTTTGGATTTTGTGTTTATTGAACAGCGTGGTCAGTGTGTTGTGCAAACCCAGGCAATAGAGTTAACTCAGTAAACTGTGGCTCCGTTAATCAAATTAATCAGTAGCATGCTGCAGTGACAGCCGTTTTCTTTCCACCACCATCCCCCCTTTCTCACAAGTTTGTTGGGAGTTTAAAATGGTGAATTGCAGGTTTATTGGCCTTGTTTTCTGGAAGGAAAAGGCCAAATTAACTCATTGATAGGTATGATAAGTAAGTCACATATTTAGTCATCTGTGTATAAATAAGTTTTCACAAGCTTTTCTGGAACATGAGTGTCCCTCTTAAACATGGAAGGCATTCTAATGAACATCTGTTTCAAACTGAATGCATGTACTTGACCAGGGAGTTTTCATATTTCATTAAAATTCAAGAACACTCTTAAAAACGTTAAATATAATTTATTGAACCAATGTGACCACAATTTTTGATAGTTCAAGTAGAGTTTTAGTTTATTTCTAATGTTTAGTCTAATTTCTAATGACAACAGAAAGATTAATCATGGTACTGTAATTCTTATACAGAAGCAAACTTGGCTTGGCAGTCCAGAGGAGATTTTCCTTGCTTCTTTCTTTATACAATAGTTGACAAGAAAGAAGCTGATAGCCTGCAGCTGTAGAAACATAAGTCTTGTTCATGCAGAATATTGATTCATTGATTCATTTATTCTAATCTTTATCCTACCTTCCTTTCTAAGAAATAGTGGTTAACAATATAATACATGAAAACAAACAACATAAAATAATCAGGAGATCATGACACTGAAAAAAAAAGAAAAGAGTAATGTAAAACTGTCAGCTAAGTTACAGAGTTTGCCCTCTGCCCCCACGATAGCATATGAGCTTTATTGCAGTCAATTAGTACTCAAGATAATATATCTCATTAAAGCTAAAGAAAAAGACACACAGCCCAGTCTACCACCTCCAAAAGCCACCTTAAAAGTCCTTATCTTGACTAAGTGGCAAAACTCAATTAAAGATGGGCCTGATGAGTTTTGATGGGAAGGTATTCTACAACTGATTCAAAAGCTCTGAGGCCTCAGTTTTATTAGCTGCATCTCTGATGCTTGTGAATTCCAGAGTGAAATGTTGATGATACAGGAGAAAGAACCAAGCAGAAAAGGCCAAAATATCCAGGTCCCAAGCCACTGGGTAAGCACTAGTTCCTTGACTGAATCCAGAAATAAATAGGTAATCAATGAAGATTGAACATGACTAGAGTTACATCCTGTGTAAGATAAACTCCAGGAAATAGCTGGAATGCATTTTCAACCAGT